CACACACACACACACACACACACACACACACACACACACACACACACACACACACACACACACACACACACACACACACACACACACACACACACACACACACACACACACACACACACACACACACACACACACACACACACACACACACACACACACACACACACACACACACACACACACACACACACACACACACACACACACACACACACACACACACACACACACACACACACACACACACACACACACACACACACACACACACACACACACACACACACACACACACACACACACACACACACACACACACACACACACACACACACACACACACACACACACACACACACACACACACACACACACACACACACACACACACACACACACACACACACACACACACACACACACACACACACACACACACACACACACACACACACACACACACACACACACACACACACACACACACACACACACACACACACACACACACACACACACACACACACACACACACACACACACACACACACACACACACACACACACACACACACACACACACACACACACACACACACACACACACACACACACACACACACACACACACACACACACACACACACACACACACACACACACACACACACACACACACACACACACACACACACACACACACACACACACACACACACACACACACACACACACACACACACACACACACACACACACACACACACACACACACACACACACACACACACACACACACACACACACACACACACACACACACACACACACACACACACACACACACACACACACACACACACACACACACACACACACACACACACACACACACACACACACACACACACACACACACACACACACACACACACACACACACACACACACACACACACACACACACACACACACACACACACACACACACACACACACACACACACACACACACACACACACACACACACACACACACACACACACACACACACACACACACACACACACACACACACACACACACACACACACACACACACACACACACACACACACACACACACACACACACACACACACACACACACACACACACACACACACACACACACACACACACACACACACACACACACACACACACACACACACACACACACACACACACACACACACACACACACACACACACACACACACACACACACACACACACACACACACACACACACACACACACACACACACACACACACACACACACACACACACACACACACACACACACACACACACACACACACACACACACACAGGAAAAGTAGGAACAACAAGATTACAAATTGAACTTATTGACCTTCTTATGATGGTGAAAATTTTTAAGAAAAGTAGGAAAAACAAAATTATAAATTGAACTTATCGACCTTGTTATGTTAGCGAAAATTTTTAAGAAGCTTTAATTGGGAACAACAAGATTGCAAATTGAACTTATTGACCTTGTTACTTTACCGAAAATTTCTGCAAAGTGGAAAAACCAATTTTATCAGTCGTTACAATGTATGCAAAGAATAACAGAATATTGATGCAACTGGAAAGCTGTTGTTGAAAACAACTTTTATCATTCATTACAATATAGCAAAATGATGGTAAATAATTATATTATTATCAATACATTTTTTTGGCTGTTAGTTTGATTACTATAACTATTTAATCGGAAGAGAAATTTGAATAATTCGTAGTCAACGAACACAAGACGAAACATGGCAGCAACTCCAATCACTTTAGTCCTTTTCTCCAAAGATACAACACTGTTACCAATAAAAAGTCTCTATGCTGTGGCTGAGTATCTCTTCCAGTAAGTACTTGTTTTGTCTTTTTCTATTGAAAAAATTTAATTTCAGTTTTCGAGTTTACTGTGAATTTGTTAAAATTGAAATTCTGCATTATTTTATTTTTTCTGTTTTATTTAATTTCTTATTTTATCTTTTACCGTTACCATAACGCCAATGTAAATTTTTAAAAAATCTATTTTAATTTTTAATTTTTTAGATATGGTGTGAAGGATATTTCACAAAAGGTTGACAAAGTAATTGTCAACCTAACCTATTCTCCGTGGCCACTCTAAAAAGAAAATTCGGAAATTTGCCAGTTCGATACATGCGAACTAAAATCGACAGCAAGGAGGAGTTTAAGCTCCTGGAACAAGTTGTGAAAAAATTCAAATTTAACCTTTTGGACGAAAACCTAGAGGAGGAGTTCTCCTCCCAACCCGAACGCTTGCGGATACTTCCTAGAGTCAAGGGAGTGAAACGAAAATTGAAGATCGATGAAATATTTTCGACCGATGAGGATGCTAATGATGCTGATGATGATGATGATGATGATGATGAGGTGGCAGAGGCACAGCAGCAGCAAGCCTCAGCTAGTACAAGAATATGTGGGATTGTGTAGCACTTATATGTACTATGAACGTATGTATACCCGCTAAGTTGGGTAGACGGCCAATTTACCGACACCAGGTGCGAAAGCTTAAGAAGTACTTTAACTTTTTTTCTAACGCTTGATTTTTATACATGTTATTGGGGAGACTATTTCATAACTACGTGTGCTCAGCCAGACCAATCGCACCGGCCAAACATCCCCCCAGATGCAATAATAGTTTTTCCGTGAGTGTGAGCGCGAGGGTACTATGCATGCGTTTGAGAGTGAGCGAGATATCTATTTCCCCCTCTTAAACTTACAGTCTACTCCAGGCTAGAGTAGAAATGGGATTCGGTTTTTCCCATAATGGGAAAAACCATTATTTACAAATAACAGTCAACTGGCCGTCTACCCAACTTAGCGAGTATACATACGTTCATAGTACCTATAAGTGCTACTCAATCCCACATATTCTGTCCTTTAGAAAATAAGTTGTGTCTGGCGGCTCTGGGCTCTTGGACCAATAGGATTAACTATGTAAGTTATGTAGAAAAAATAAAAATACTATACAAAAATTTCCATTTTTTCATTCAAACACCAATTATTATTTAATAGAAATACACTCTCTTTGGCACAAGTTAAGTTATTAAACAAGTGGGTTTAACAATGAAAATTATTTGATACAGTTCTTAACTTTTCGAAACTTGGACATCCCAAGCTATCAATATCGACAATATTATTATTTATTAAATTACTTAACCATACTTTTTTATTATAACCTTCACAAAGAGAGTATCATTTTTAACAATTTTAATTATAGAACTTGTTATATTTTCAAATGGTAAAAAACTGAAGTCAAACCTATTCCAGTCCAAACCATGTAAGTTATGGGTGGTCCTTGAACGTCTAGGATGAAAATTTTCTTTTTTCCTTATCTTCTTCAGCTAGATCTAAATAACATGCACTGTGCTGGTCAATGGATGGTATTTCAGAAGTCGATCGTAGAGAATCAAACAGTAAGCTGTATTGTTTGCCTGAACCGCTTTTTTCGTTTCAAATTCTACACGAATATCAACAGCACCACCTTTTAGGATGTCTTCACCTTGCCGAGAGCAATCAATGACTACCAGAGGAGCATCTTGTTTAAAGTTTATAGGATAGAAGCATGGTTCACATTGTTTACGATAATAGTGGGATTTTTGGAATTGTGCATACATTTCATATAGGATTGCAAAATGATTTGTGTCAAAGTCCAGGTTGAGGATATCGTAGGGAGAAACTTCTGAATTTGAATAGACTTTTAAATTTGTTAACGTTATGTGGTCAAATCTGCTCATGTTTTTTAATGCCACATTTTCTCTATTTGTTTGGAACCCAATAATGATAAAACGTGGTTTTTCCAATTGATTGGTGGACTTAACAGCCCATGTATAATTTGTTGTAGTTTGTAGTTCAGGATATTCGTGTAATTCCCAGCTTCTACATGCAATATTTAAATGCAAATTTTTCTCAAAATACTTATAAAGGCGTAATTTTTGATCATCAGACACTCTAATACGTGGCATTTTCCATAAAATTTCACTTAGCGTTACTTTGTATGTTCCTTTTTTATCTTCATGTTCAATGTGAGCATTGACGTTAGAATTACTTCTTATCAATACCTGTCGCACATTCAAAATAATTTTATGATGATCTTCAAAAAATCCCATTACAAGTTTCAGAGGTATACATGCATTGAAATTTCCGTGTTACGGGTCAAAATAATAGGTCGTTAAAAAATAATTAAAAAAACTAAAGAACTTCCGAACATCTTCTCTCATGGACCTCGAATCCTCCTGAAATGAAATTAACCGTTAAGTACCTTTGTTTTTAATGTTAAATAAATACTTACCTTGTTCAGTGCTTCATTAATTCTTTAATTAAGACAATTATATCTCCATCATCAGTCATTTCCATTCATTTATCTGAAAGTAAGGAATTTAATTTATTAAACTTATCAAGAACGTCAAATTGTCAAGAAATATTTATTCAATGATAGTTTCCTTTTGGTTTCATAGATGTCGCTTTGAATTTTGGCTCAAAAATTTGAAGCTATAGACCCTCAAATCGAAAATCCCTAACTTTTTCCCCAGAACCAAAATTCCCGCGCGAAGATACCGATTTTTGTGCCAGAACCACATTTTTCGTTGAGAAAGAGGCAACGTTTTTGCTTTTCTCGTGGCTTTTAGCCGTTTTCGAAAGTTTAGATCCCAAATAATTCGTTAAAAGGTGGCTATTAGCTCTGATTATAGCACCGAAGCACTGTTTTGCTGATTTAGTGACGAATTAGGGAGAAAAATCTAAAGCTTTGGTTCCACGTTTTTGAGCCTGTGAAAAAAAGGCCAATTTCCATTGGTAAGTTCCTTACTTTCTTACTTTTTAATTACTAAATTGAGGCTTTACTGCTAGAAATATTCAAATAAATCGTACGTACCTCATTCTTCAGAATCCTGACGCAATTTTCATTGTTTCAGGCCTTTTTTTACGTTATGGTCCCCCTTTTTGTTTGTGTCTGCACCTTACCAAGCAAGTGACATCCAACCCTATCTTGAGGCTGAGCATTTACAGAGGCCTTGAATTTACTCAGAGATTGGTTATTTTTCCGACAAGTAGTCCTGGGGTGCGTTCAAGGACGGCAATGCTAATTCCAAAACCTACTTTTCCCCTTCCTCCGGTAATGCCGAACCACATAGGTTGGAGCCGAACTCGAACGCAAAATGCCAATTTTGGCTTGGCTGTAGCCATTCCTGAACGCAGCCCTGGACCTAGACCCGGGGCCCGAAGAACTTTGAGGACTTTGCTGCCCTCTCACTCTTCTAAGAACCAACTACAGACCCAGTATATAATAATAAGGTTTGAGTATTGTTGTGCTATCTTTGGGAACCATTCATTGATCATTTGATAGAGACTATCCATCTCATTGAGAGCTGGAGCTTCATTTAAGTACCAACAGCTTCAGGGTATTTCTGGATTTTAAGACCTGCGAACCTTTGTCCTATTTTGCTAAAAGATTATTTTTATTATTATTTTTTTTAACCCTTCAGGCTCTTAATATTAATTAAATTCTTACCTTTAAGTATATGCCAATCACATTACACTCAAAATTATCACACATTTGATTATTTCCACTGCTCACTGTACACCAGGTATAAATAGATCTATTTAAAATGGTATTTTAGGTAATTTTGAGGTCCATTGTTACAAATTTAGGGGATACCTAATATAGCCATGGTGTACTGAGGCCCTATGTGAATTAATTATTTGTTTCGAGGATTGTGTATTTATTTAAAGTGAATACCGTCTATTTTTAGTATAGGTACGTTATCAGTTATTATTATTATTTTTTGATGTCTACCAGCTGATTTTCGCCGGTGACTATTTCTGTTTTCAATTTTCAGTTTGATGTTAAATATTTGAGGGCAGATTGATTACATTTATTGATCTGAATTGAAGCGTTTCATTCTACCCTTTTAAGCAATTTTAGTTGACAGGTGCAGTACCGTTTAGCTGTTGAGCTTTCCTGTTTTGTTTTGGAATATCGGAACTCCGTTTAACTGAAGGGCATCAAAACAGGTGGCGCTTTTTAGGTAATTACCCACACCACTCTCCACTAAGAGTTAGTCGGCAGCCTTTAGAAACGGAGTTTCCTTTCTCGACTGGTAATACTGTCGCCACCTTTCTAAATTTCCACTTTACACTCTCACCTTTCTCTCTCTCTTTTCTTTTTTAAATTTCATTATTATTTTTTTTATTACATAACAAAATTGGCGCCCCAACGTGATGGTTAAATAATGTTAACAAATTGGCACCCATCGTTTCAATGGGTTTATGTTCGATTTTTTTTTTATAGTGTAGTTTAATTATTTTTGACTTACATTTTTTCTTGCGTGACGCATAGGTGGACTGTTTTTTTTCTGTTACTTGCTTGTTATCCGGGTGTATGTTTGTTTGTTTTAAAATTTTCTTTCTCTTCCCAGATTTCACATTATTTTTTTTGTTTCTTTTTGCGTATCGGTCGGGTTTTGGGTTTTGAGTGAGGAAAACAACATAACAAATATTGTATAATTTTTATTTATTGATTCAATTTCGTTACCTTTAATTATTTTTTTTGTCTTTCTCTCTAACGCTATCATGGAAGTCAATCTATTGGGAACCGAGGAAATAAAGTTTGAGTTGGCGATTCGTGGTTTGCCAACTACGGGTACCTTTGCCTAAAAGCGTGCAACTTTGCGCGAGGCGATACGTTTTGAGCGTAATGGTCAGAGGGAAGCTCCGTCTAATTCCTGCTTCGATACAGGCTATGTTTTTGTCAGGGTAAACTAGTGACTTTGAAAAGAGAAACCCTTAATTTCGATCGTGGAAATGGCGAAAGTGAATATAGGCGTATTTCATCTCTCCTGGTGCACACCGAAGCAAGTCTTATGAGGCTCTCCTGCGATGATCGCAAGAAATGGGCAGTCAAACAGGATTTGCTTAAACAGTGTGTGGATCTATTTGGTCGTCTGGTTACACTTCGTAACCAAGATATTGGAATCTCTCAACCCAACCAAAGCCTCTTAGATACGGACAACCCCCCATCATCCGAACATAATATCAATCCTATCGCACAGGTCAACATTGTCGAGTCAGAGGATATTGCCACATAACACGATTTAATTTCCTTTGAAGGCGATGGTCCTCCTTTGTCTGGTACAACTCCACTTACGTCGACATCGATACCTCAAGTAGCACAAGAAGCCACAAATGTCTCGAATCTACCCGCTTCTTCTAATCGACGCGCTCCTCCTCAGCGAGGAATTATCTCTGCACCTACCCATGTAGACTTTGACAATCCTTCTTCAGGTTTTCTAGATCATCAGTTCCATCAAGACAATTCGATACATAGGACTCATACTCATCCTACCTATGAAGATCCTATCTGGCGGCAAATTACGAAACTAGTTTCTAGTACATACAAACAATAGAATAACATATGAC